GTTGTCGCACTTTTCTCTAGGACCTGTGATGTCTTCTGTCAAGCGTATGCATCTTTTGCTTCTGAGTTGCAAAGGTCCTTCGGCAACATCTCCAGGTACTCGTGGCTTTGCGCCTAGCTTGAGCTGGAGAACCCCGAAGTCTCCAATCAAAGTCAAGCTTCGGCTCGCACCTGGCTGTCACGCCACTGCAGGCGGAAGCAGTGCATGAACCTGAACGCCGCTGCTGCACGAAAGCAGATGAAGGGTGATCACCAGCTGAGTTCTCGAGAAATAGGCCGTCTACTAAGCTACGAAGATTAATGACTGCGGAGCGCTCTGTTGTCTCACTGCTGCACCAGTGACAAGCGACCAGCTGCATGTTAACTCCGGGCCAGGATCAGCCACTTTGGGCTTCTACGCCCTAACAACGTCCCTTCAAGAAATTCTATGTTGTTGTAACTTGTGTCAGCCTGGCTTAGCTTCTTTGCAGTTAATACGGTGCAAACAGAAGAGGGACATTTATCCCGGCCGTGCTGATGCTGCTCAGCAAGCGTCCCATGTTTATCAGGGCATCTCTACAATAGCCAACCGCAACAAGATGAGCTCAACTGGCGAGCGTCCATAGCTGCTCTTATGAGTGATTTCCGAGCAGCCTAATTGGCACAAGAGACTTAGGCTCACCTTTCCCCACAACAAAAACATAGGTCTGCCCATGGGAGACTCGCATAGCAGCTGTACGTTAACACTACGGCCATAAGCCTGTGACCATCGCATGGCCGTTAGCAATGCAAAGGTCACAAGAGCCTGTGGATGCATTAGCTTTTTTCTTCTGACTTCAGGAGTTGTAGAAGATCGTTGAAGCCTGCCAATACCACTCCATGCAACCACCCCATGTAAGAGCCTCCGCACCCCCCCAAGTGTACAAAAATACTTGGTTGCAATGTGCTGGATGCGCATGAGCACAGCTGGGACGTTGAGATTGAGGTAGGGCTTTTTTGGGACTTAGGGCCATTCAGGGCTTTGGGCTGTGTGTTTTAAGGCTCGTCAAGCCTCTGACCCAGTATGACCCAGTAATTACAACGCCGGAAGCAGCGTCAGGCCCCATGCTTGCAAGCTATGGTTGGTTGGCGCATGTGTCATCTCATCCGGTCTCGTCCTCTTATGATTCCAGGGGCTTCTCCCGCTGTGCCATGACGTGCCATGCAAAGATTTAGGGGTCACAGTCAGTGAGTGCGTCTGCCTCTCCAAAGATCTTCTCAGGGCCAATCTGCCCCCTGGAACGACTATGGGACAGTAGGAGTCGCGCATGCTGGCGTCATATACATTTTGTAGTTGACTGTCGGATCCAGCACATGGCCACTTCTGACCACTTCATGCCATCCAAGACAATCCACAGCGTGGAGATTGCAGCTACGGACGGCCCCGAGAAGTGTCTTCGCGCGCGGAATGTGATGAAACTGGTGTATGTCGTCGGAGGCATGCTATTATTATCTAAAACAGTCTGCTGTAAGATACTCTGAGTATTTTAGATTATTTTGATCGGTGTACAGATTCGGAACCAAAAAAAGGGTTCCTGCCGTTCGGCATGCCGAACGGCAGCAAAACAGCTTCCCGCCGCAGAGCATTTTATGATTTTATGAGTGATGCAGCCAGTCATCCCTGTTCAATTATAGTTTCCAGCTCCAGCTATTTAGATGTCACAACCAGGATCAGCTTCCTGCAGTTTACAATCCTCACTCCAACTACTCGGACGCGGGAGACCACATGGACTTCGTACAGCGTTGGAACACCGGTTTGTGTCCTTGCCGTTTCTCGTTCATGCCCGCCAAGCCTTTTGCCTGTGATCTCGTAAAGTGTGTGGCTTTCCCAGTTGGCATGACAGGAACATCATGACAACCACCAGAAAACAGCAAGGATCAGCCAGGCAAGGCCAAGAGCGGCCCGCCCGCCATCTGGCCGGGACGGACGACTATCAGGATGCTCCCCAGGTTGCGGAATTGGCTGTGAGATCCGGTAGCTCCTTCATCATGGCACAAGGTAAAAAATTCCGTCCGGGACAAACATGGGGACCACACGAACAACTTTGCGGTCGCTTTGCTTCTGCAGAAAAAAAAACGCGATGGTCAAGGGCTTGGCAAATCCTGCATGAGATTCATTCTGACATGATTTTGTGAGAAGCTGTCAGAAAATGTCATGGCCTCCTGAAGCTACGATGTTTGCACATCTGCATGGTTGGGAAGTCATCCAGCTTTTGTTTTTGCCACTTGGCTAGGACACACATGCAATCACTCACAAGACGTTTGCACAGTGTACATATACGGTTCCCCCCCCCCCCCGGGCCGGAGTTTAGGTAGAAAGGGAGCATCTGGCACTTCAGTGCGAATGAACCTTGGCGCAGCGCTGTCATTGAGAGGTGCTCCTGGCCTTTCTGCTTTGCCGCTGCAGCCACACTGGTCCCATTTGTGGTCGTGAAGTTGACCTCATCTGCCGGCAGATACCGGTCGTGTTGAGAACGGATAAAAACATATGAAAGCAGTGTTCAATAGTGTTCATGTCAATGTAGCCACTGTGCAACTGTGCTGTAAATGCCTCACCCGCTCCTACCAACAACCCCAAACATCCTCAAACATGCCGGCAATAAGTTTGGAGCTGCCTTTTTGTTGCGTACATCTGAAAGACCGCATGCAGTTGCGGCCAGGCCGCATCTGATTTTGCATGCAGAAGAGTTCGCGCCACGTCTGCCTGACCGCTGAAGGATGCAACAACCTCAGACTCTTTCAGACAGCCTAGCTGCACGATCATCCGGCAATGAAACTGCGTCCACAAATTCAAGCACATGTGACAGGAGCACATGAAACCTGCGAACTGCAGCGAAGAGGCATAGAGAGGCGTCCACCCCTCTTCATCTGTGGCATGCACGTCGGCTTTGGCTCTACAAAGAATTTGCACGACCTGAGTCACTTGGGGCGGTCGTGGGGCGTTTTTGCTAAACCCTGTTGCCCTTCCGGCTAGGTTGTGGCAGCCTCACTATGCCGCCAAATCAAGTCTCATGAGCAATGCCATCCCCAGACTGATCTGCCCTGGCCCCCCTCTCCCATGCGGAAACAGCACTTGCATATGGTTCAGGCCAGTGTCAGCATCGTCACCTCGAAAGGCTGCCACATGCAGTGGGGTTAGGCCATTGTTGTCTTTGGCATTCCTCAGATCAGAAACACTTGCTGTGCGTACTGGTGCACCTCCCGGTAGGACTTGCGAAATCTCTTGCCGCAGTCAAAGAATCAGCTTTGTCTTGGCTTCACAGAGGACTTTCACGATCTCCTCAACTGCAGGCCAGACACAAGTCTTTGTGGCAAGAGCTGCGCCAGATTTCTGGACATGATGGTACCTATCCAGCTGCACTTGCCCGGCGGCCTGTCCTTGTGCCCCTCAGAGCAGGCGGCATGCAAGGCATCTGTGCCCAGTGTAGCAACCTGCTGAGAGGGCGATGACACAGACTGAACGCCAAGCTGGCACTTCACAAACTGCGCTCATGCAGGTCTGGCAGGTCTTGGAGGCCTAGACGGAACAGGTTGTAAACTTCCCCTGTTTAGTTTAGGTCATCCATGTCTCAGCCACTCAGATGAGCTGCCTCGCGAGGGCTTGCGCGGCCAAGCAGCTGCCCTGTGGCAATTCCAAAGGGCTTGAACAGAAACAAGGCATTTCCAGAACTCACAAGTATTTGTACGCAGAGCAGTGTTTTTGCAAGCAAGACACTCACCTGACGCAGATCGCCAGCCTGTACCAGCACAGAAAGGACAGGGTGACAAGCCGTTGCCGCTCGCATGAGCGCTGCATCTGTTTCACACATGCAGTAGCTGCTGGAGTACGTTGACCTGGTGCTACAACTACAGGCCTTGGCATGTCGGAACAGATCACGCATAGCCCTCAGCATCACGCACAGCTTTCTCCATTTGTATACTATGGTAGCCACAAGAGTGAAAAGCTCAAAAGAAATCCTGAGATGACCCGTTTGCCAGGGTGCGGAGCGCTTGCACTTGAAGACTCCTCACCTCAGTGGCTCTGGCAAGGTAGCTCCCACCTGTGCATTCTCTGTCATCCATGCCAAGCAGCCACTGGAGTCCCAGCTGTAGGAGTCTGAATCTGTCCTGCAAGTTGGAAATGCTTCAGCGGCCAATGCCATAGAAAATTGTGAAATCCTGCGCAATTTGCAATGCTTGTCACCGCATGAGCATCGGGTCGTGGTCTTATCGAGGGGGCGCAGATGGGATCCAGCAGAAGGCATCGGGATATTGCAAAATTGCGTAAAAGTTCTCAAAATGTCAATAAGCAAATATGGTTGCGTAATTTTG